ATGATTCATCAAAGTATTTCTGGTCCATAAACAATAAATTAAATTCCAAAGTAGCAGTGCTCTTTACACTTCACTGCATTGTGTGTGGATTTTTGAGACTCTCCTTATGTGCCTCGATACACAAATGCATATTTTTTTTTATACAGGGGATGGTTTGCCAAGAATCACAGAGCTCCCTTGTTTAAATCAATCACAAGAAAGTACTCCACCCGGGATGACTCTATGCTCCGCTCCAGTCAGGTGTTCTGTCAGCCCAGCATACGGCGTCAGGCCAGTTTACACTCAGTAATACGCGTTACATAGTTACATCTGTCTCCGCTCTCCTTACAGCCAATCAAGCTGTTTTACTCAGGGTCTTGTTGTAGTTTGTGCATAAAAACAAGAAAAAAACATTCACTAGGTTTGTTACACACATTAGGGTTAAAAACAAACATTGAATGTCTGTTTGACGAGGATCTTATTAAAGGATGATCGTCATTTTTTCACAGATAATTAAATATTATAGGGAGAGGATTCTACAGCTCAGTGACAGGATAGGAGATTTATTTTTAGTTTGTTTAATATGAGGGAGATGGGGATCATTTTATTATTTATTTATTTTTACAGCACACAAAGAACTACTGAAATTATTTTCACATTACATATAAATAGATTCATTACTTCTGCGGGGGGAAAGGAGTGACTTTAGAGTTAGGATTCACTCGATGATAAGAAGCTAATGAGCCTACTGCCACAATCTGAAGGAAATTCTGTGACTGATAATAACGATCCACTTTCCTCCCTCTTCCTCTGTTTTCCCTGACAGCAGCTTGTTTCCTGACTTATTGCCATTCATCTAACAAATAGTTCTTGAGTTTTAGACAAACGCTTATGACATATTTTCTCTCTTTGTTAAGTTTTCAACATGGAGCCTGATCTGATCCGTGAGGGCGGGACCATCCCTATTGCCAAGACCTTCCAGGATGTGACGGGGAAAAGCATCATCATGATGCCCATCGGAGGCTTTGATGATGGGATGCACTCCCAGAACGAGAAGATCAGCAGGTTTCTCCTCATCTCTAAGCTCTAGCTTCAGACAGGAGGAGCTGCTTTGGCTCCTGCAGGAAATGGCCGTTATATTTTTATCTCAAAGGGAAACTTTGCATTAACTCATGTTTCAAAGGATGATAGCTGTTGGCAGGTAGGATGTTCCTGTAGTGGTCTGTGACCGTGGAGAAGCCTCGGACTGAAGACCCTCTAACAGTCTGATGAAGAGGATGCTCATTGCTGTCCATCACCTTCTTCATCTCCAGAGGTTCTAGAAGAGTTTCTAGAACAGAGCCGGTCTTCTTTATCAGCTGGTTGAGCTTCTTTCAGTCATTAGCTCTGATGATGATGATGATGATGATGGAGAAAGAGATCAGACTGAGATAAGATCTGATGTCTGTGAGGTCTTCTTGGGTCCACAGCCTTCTCCAGGCCAATCCGTCTCCATGACGGATGTGGATCGGCTCTGACTGGTCCCTGGAACCATCTGTAGCTTCCTCCTCTGTCATAACCAGCTCCACCAGGTGAAGCTGACCCAGAGCATAATGCTGCCATCATCAGGTCCGATGCTGGCTGCTCCTGCCCTGTTCATTCTTCTGGACTCACTGAGAACTGATCTGATGATGTCAGATGAATGAATGATCCCTCAGTACCCCCACCTGAAGACTGGACTGGTTCTGGACTGAGCCATAGAATGAGGAACATGCTGTCCATCCTTTAGGACCTGTCGGCCTCCTTTAGGACCTGTCGGCTTCCTTTAGGACCTCTCTGCTTCCTTTAGGACCTGTCTGCTTCCTTTAGGACCTCTCTGCTTCCTTTAGGACCTCTCTGCTTCCTTTAGGACCTCTCTGCTTCCTTTAGAACCTCTCTGCTTTCTGTGGGTTCTGCTAAGATGTTAAACCTGATGATTTCTCCACAGTGTGGTTAGAAGGTGAGCAGATGTTGCTGCCTGTACAGGACGCTCTTCACCGAACCGTTGCCTCTTGATCTAACAAGGATGACATATTGTAAATGAAATGATGGCATGTTCTGGTGAAGGCCACCAGCAGCTGCTCCGTTTATTAAACTCTGCACTCCTAACCACAGAGCTGAAACAGTGAGCAGCTGCTGTTCTTCACTAGATGTTTCCTACAGCGCGCAAACATCTTTGAAGCTCTCTGATATCAGCCACTCCTTTGCCCATTGGTCACACCAATGCTGCCCAAAGGACCGACTGGACCTGGATCAAAGGGTCCGGGTGGAAGTTTCAATCCCTCAGGGAGCTTCAGTACAACATGGAACATCTGCTGGGTTTCTCTATTGCTGGGAATGTAATGATATCAGACATTCCCAGCAATCTTCTTTTTTCACTCAGAATGAGGAAGACTCTACTCTTTCTCTGACTGGAAAGGCTGGTTTAGTTTAGGCAGGAGAAGTGCTGGTCATGTGATTGGTTGAAGTATTGATGTCAGCAGGCTTTAGAGTCGCTGAGCAAGGCAGGTTAGAACTGTTTCTATGGTTCAGTTCTGGGATTAAATCTGTTTCTTCTTCTCAGGTACAACTATATTGAAGGAACCAAGTTATTCATCGCCTACCTGAATGAAATCGCCCAAATTAAGACCAGCGTGTGACCATGACAAGGAAAGATCCCTCCATCCGTCCATCCATCCGCCTACCCATCTATCTATCTATCTATCTATCTATCTATCTATCTATCTATCTATCTATCTATCTATCTATCTATCTATCTATCTATCTATCAATAAAGCGTTGTAGAACCAGAAGTCTGGATTTATTCATAATCAGAACTTGTATCATGGAGTTTTTTGTGGTTTTCTTTTGTCTTCTAACTAAAACTGAACAGAATGAAGCAGAATGATGAAAAAGGGGTCCCTATGTCCTCCAGCAGGCGTCTGTTTTTATACTGATTTTAGAGCAATAAATGAAGAACTTTCTGTGAAAATGATCCACAGCAAACAGACAGAAGTATTCACACCCTTCGCTGTGACTCATCCCTCCTCCATGGATCATGGTTGAGATGTTTCTGCTGCCTGGTAATGGCCAACCTCAGCTTTCTGAACATCATCTAAGATGGATCAAAATGTCCATGGATGCCCACTGGGTGGTGCTGCTACAGCACCTGACCTTTTCCTCTGGAGCAAATCTTTTTTTCTCGATGTAAAGTCTGGATTCCTTCATTAACAGTAGAAAAAAAAGCTTTCTTGTTTGAATCATGTCTTTTTTAGAACAAATATAGTAAAAAAGTTCCCCTGTCTGTTAAATATGTGACTTAAATGCGAACATCAGGCCAGATGAGCTGGTTTACATTTATGTTAAACCGTAGTTCAGTAACAGAGGGGCATGTATCTACGTTTTCTATTTTTGTGTGTATGAATGATGTGATGCTCAGACTATTTTGATATTTTATTATAATCAGTTTGTTTCTATAGCTCCGCCTCACAATGCAGATCATCACAAGGCGCTTTAGAGACAAATCTAATTATTCAGTCAGGTTGGTTTAAAGTTTAAGATAACTAGTTGATTGTATCCAGTCATTGACTTACAGGACATGCTACTCCTGGATGAGTGGCAACAGATAGTTGCTTGTATTTCGTTGTTGAATCAACAACAGTCCCTTAAACTGAGCATGCATGCAGCAGCAGTGGAGAGGAAAACTCCCTCTGAACA